CAACTTGAAAAGAATTTGATAATATATACTATTTAAAACAAAAATCTTCATTAATTAAAATTTTCATTAAAAATATTTTCTATGATATTTCGATAAGAACTGTAAAATTTCTATTATCAAGTTATACTATTTTATAATTCTTTAATCAAATTTCATAAATATTTTAAATATAATAATTATATCCAACCAACCATATGATATCGTTCAAACAAGCCGCTACCAAGCATTTTTGCATTTTAATTATATATGATATTATTTTATACGTTAGATGCAAAATCAGCCGTAACCATTGCACATCAAATGGTTTGGTGCCATTGATACTGTTAGTGAAATATTTTGGTAAATGCCTTCATTTCATATGATGCCATGCAAATCGGTGTTTGTCTTTCTGCATTGCTGATGCGAGACGATCGTAGAATTGCATGTGGAAATAGGGACGATATTGTCACCAATCTGCTTCCTGATGATTAATATTGTTATATAATTTCTTTGAAACTTTTCCAATATATAATTTCCAACAGTCAGATTATACTTTCCGATATCATGATACTATCATACTATTTAAGAAACTCAGTGAATATTTAAATAGCCTGACTTACTTTGTTTATATATTCAAGGATTGTTTAAATCATATTATCAAAAAATGCAACTAACACTTCCATCTGAAATCTTCTCTATTCATTCGTTCGTCATCAGTTATATTTCTCACTTTACGACGATCATCGTACGATCACTGAAAAATCGTTCATCCAATCACATAAGCATTTTCCTGTATTGAATTTTTTCCCTATTTTACATTTGCACAACATATTTTTGCTTTTTTCTCTTAATGATTGATTTTTAAAGCCTTTCAAACTTTATAGACAGCTGATGGATGCTAATGGAAATTCAAAATATTAACTTTTTCAGACACCAAATTTAGAAATTCCGAAATTCTTCTTATACGCAATGAAATCGTGCTTTTATGAGAATGTGTGTAAGAAAGTGGCAATTTAAATATCAACATTACTATTACTAACTGTCACATCTTCTTGTGCAGTAAATGAATAATTTCTTTCCATTCTTTCAAATCGACTGTTCCATCAAGAAATCTGAAAAAATTTGAAAGCGAAAAAATATTAGAAAATGAAAGAAAATCATTGAACAGACATTCACTTTGGGTTAGCCAATTATTTGCTACATTTAAATTCAATTTCTTTACTAATAATGACATCGTCATTAATTATTCTATGTATCGCAAATGATCTTAATTTATGACAAATTAAATTAATCAATTAATTCATCGTTTTGCAAATGTGAAATTTGAAATTTTTCAACCGATCGTTGAACATTTTATTTTTTATAAATTATTTTTTGCATATTTCTATAAAAAAATATTTCTTCAAATAATTTCTACCTTTTTTCCAGATCTTTTCTAATTTCATTAATCACTCTTGGATTAATCAAATTATTGTTTGATAATTTAGCATGTAAAAAGATAATAGAAGATAAAGGAAGGCTTTATTTAGAATAGGCTTGTAAAGAGAATCATTGGAACAAGTCGAATGAAACTCATTTGATTAGCTACTAAAATAACAGCCTACTAAAATAGCATTCACTCATTCTGGTCATTTAGTTCAACGTTCAAAGTTTTTAATAGAGAAGAAATTGAATTCTTGCCTTATCGATATATCCTTTCACTAATATTCATCATCATAATATTATTCATTTCATTGTTGACAGTAATTACTAAAACATAATAATCGTCTTATCAATGTTATCAATATGAAAAAAAATTTTTTAACCAATTAGAATTGATAGAATGGTTGGATAAAGAATTTGAGGTAGAAGTGAAGAAATGGTTGGTAGTAAAGAATTGAGAAATCATGATCTCTTAAAGATCTTTTTTTAAAACAAACAATAATCTTTTGTTTCGTCCTTTTTCATACTTTTGATCTTTTAACATTTCTTTCAAGTACAGTTTAAAATTTACCCGTAAAAAACAATTAATTATATAAACATCTTATTTTTTCCCTTTTAAGCCATTCCTTTTTTTTCATTGATAAATAGAAACTTTGAAATGATAATTTTTGATAAGAAAAGAGTTTCGAATAGTAATTCATATTTTAATTTAAAAGCCTTCAGTGTCATTCATAAAATTTATATTTAAAAAAATGTATAATTATTTAGTGATATCATTTATTGTAATCTCTATTGTTTCCATACTAATGAATGTCATGATATTATAATCATCATTATCATCGCCATTCTAAACACAGTTATCGTATCATTATCATCATAGTCATCGTAACTAATAATTTTTGACTACCGTAACAATATCGTTTCTATACTAATGAATGTTCTAATATTATAATCATCATTATCACCGCCATTATAATCACAATTATCATCATAGTCATCGTCACAAATAATTGTTCACTACCGTAACTGTCACGATAATTGCTATCATTATTACTATCAAGTTATTATATCAAAAATGCATACTACCTAGTGACATCATTTATTGTATTCTCTATCGTTTCTATACCAATGAATATCCTAATATTATAATCATTATTATCACTGCCATTACAATCATAACCATCGTATCATTATCATCATAGTCAATGTAATTAAAAATTTTTGACTACCGTAACTATTTCGATAATTGCTATCATGTTTATCATTATTACTATCAAAAAATGCATACTACTTAGTGACATCATTTATTGTAATCTCTATAATCATCATTATCACTGCCATTATAATCACAACCATCGTATTATTATCATCATAGTCGTCGTTACTAACAATTTTTGACTACCGTAACTATCACGATAATTGCTATCATTATTACTATCAAGTTATTACTACTATCATAATCATCATCTTTATTATAGATCATTGTTCTTGTTTTTAATCAAATCTTTCTCTATATATTGGTTAAATTATTTTATTATAAAACTTTATATTATTAAAACTATTACTTTTCTATTAAATGAAATTTGGTGCTATTAGTTTTTGAGGAAAAAATTGAATTATTTATTTTTCTCAGTTTCTTATTTTTAATGATCAAAAATTTTTCAACGAATTATTCGAGAAAAAAAAAGCTGGCATAAACAAATATTACTTTTACTAAAAATTCCATTTTAAAAAATTCAAATTTCAATATTTTAGATAATACTAGAAGAAGCAGTAATTTCTGTCGTAAAAAAAGGTTCATGTTCATGGATTAAAGAAGATGCATTTCTTTTTCTTTCTTTTAAAGTGAATCCAAATTGATCATTTCATTGATCCAAGCTGACAACTTGAGAATAATTGAAAAAACTGATTTCTGACCCTGGTTCTGTAATTTTTTGAAAGAAAAAATGATTCTGAATATTTCACGTTTCAAACATGTTTTTGATGGTACATTATGTTGTTGTTCAGTATTGTTCACGATTCATTGAAGACTTCGTCTTCAAGAAAGGAAGAAAATGGTCATAAATTATTTTCAGTCATTTTACATCATGCATACCCCCGTGTTATCTCGTATAAAAAATGTTTGCGGGTTTTTCAATTTTTCTTTTTTTGTATTATGTTCGGATCTTAATCGTGTAAATACGCTAATTTGTAATTGTTTTAGAAAGAGTTTTGAAATTTCAAAAAAAAAAGTCATTACTTGTTTGAAGATTGTTATTAATAATTGAATTTTAGGTTATTGCGTTATATACTTCGAAGATTTTTTTAAGCGTCCAGAATTAGATTTGAAATTTCAAGTGCATCGCTTAGCATACAATAGAACCTGGCATGACTAATTTCTTCCGCCACCTACTTCCGCTTTTCAATCTCCAATTCTACCATCATTTTCTTGGATGACTAGCTGTTAAATAATCGTTTTGCTTCTCATCTGTAACATTCGATGTTAGTGACATACAATCATAGCTACCGCTTAGGAAAGTGATATATTTAGCTCAACGAATTTCACTTTTTCTTAAATGAATGTAATCAAATGTTGAAAGTAGTGATGAGTGAGGTAAACTTCTCAATTCTACTGGGAAAAAAAAACTTTGAAGATTGTTGTCATATTTCTTCAAACTGTTCTGGCATTTCTAAAGACATTCTTTTTTCCTAAATATTTCATTTAATTACAACAACTTTTATTAACAAGTTTTTCCTTGGTTCACATGACAATTACCGATTCGTTGGACAGTTTTGTCCCTTGTAAAAGAGGTGAATTATTTCTTCACTTCATTATTCTCTTCTTCACAAACAGTATATTTTGCTTTTCCTTTATTTCTATCAATGATAATGTCTCTTTTCTCTTGTCAGTCACTAATTTTAATCCAATGCTACTAGACATCTGTCACAATCTTTCATGACATAGATAATATAACAAAATTTTGTTTAATTAAATCAAGTAAATTTTTTGACAAAATCTTTGCTTTAGCATCAGGCTGATGGAATTACAAACTTATATTTGACGATCAATCAATATTAGGTCTTATTACTTCTCATAATTGTTTAACTCATTAAAGACCTTTAAAACACTGCTTATTTTAAAAGTCTGAACAATTTTCAGCAATATCTTTTGGTAGTTTAAACTGCGACAAATTAAAACTTTTTTACATTTTTCTATTTGCATTTTTTTTTTAAATCAACAAATGCGTTATTTATTCCATTATTTTCTTGACGGATACGTTTTTCTTTCTTTTTGAGACATTCCAAAATATACCTGAAGAAGTTGTATTTCCAGGCTACATCGGTATCGTAGTATTTGCTTGCTGTCGACTTTAGATGCAAACTTCTAAATACTTTCTATTTTCTTAAAAATACAAAAAAAAAGTGATCATTTATGTTGTGCCACTGGTTTTATTAACAGTGGTGACAAAAACGACAAACGTCTAGTGAAAATTGACAAATAAAAGGGAGGAAAAATAGGAAATATTAAATTATTTATTTGGAGTTTCAAGAAATAAAGAAATTTACAAAAAAAATAAAGAGACAAACTCTGAGATATATGTCCTCCATCACGTACATTTATGCAAACTGGCACCTGGCTAGCAGCGATAATGACTTCGCTTCTTGTTATTATCGATAATCAGTATTGCTTTTCACATACTACTGATACTAATACTGGTACCACCACTGTTACTAATATCAATACACCACCTGCAATTATCAATGATGAACAGAAAGCTGGAACTTCGTATGATTATAACGGTATGTTTAATACGATTTATACGTAAGAGAAATACATAGAATGTATTATAGATTAGAAAGTTGAAAGATGAAATTTAGAAGAGAAATAAGAATTAAAAGGGTCAATTCATTATTAGGACAATCTCTCTGTAAAACAAATAGTTGTTGATGATAATCATACGGAACATGTTGATTATAAATGCCAATAATCAAATGTTTGATTATAATTTTAGTTGCATTCAACAAATTCCATCGTACTAATGCAATTCTTTATCCCGAATTTTTTTTTGCTGCAAATGAAACAAATAGTTATTTTAATTTTTAAAAAATACAATTAAAATTTTGATAAAAAATTTCAGGACTTTCAGCGTACAATCGTTTGAGACATTCTGAACGACAGCGACGACGACACAAGCAAATGTTGCAGCAAAAACAAAAGCAACAACTACAAATACACCGTTCCGATGGTAGCAGCATTAACGATAAATTCTTCGATAATTTACGAAGACCGTTGAATGTCAACAATAACAACAATAACAATAATAACAACAACAACAACAACAACAACAACAACAACGACAACAATAACAACAATAATAACAATGGTGGTATACTAAGGAATAAATTGAAAGCTCACCATAGAGTAAGAATCTTTTTTTGATTAAATTATTAAAATGAATTGTTCCATGGAATAGTTAGTTACATTTGATATGATAGCAGTTTCGAATTATATCATCATTTTTTTAACTGAAAATAAAATTTAAAATATTTTTCTTTAAAAACCGGTCTTAATTATTAAAGTAATAAACAAACAAAAAAGAATAAGTTAATAGCCTAATTGTTTTTTTTCAATTAATGAAAATTATAAAAACAAAATATTTCTTAAATAATTTTTATCAAAATTTTAATTTTGTTTTTTTTTCTTCATTTCAAATAAATAATTATTGTCAATGAAAAAGTTTCGTTGTTATTTCAAATATTTCATTATTACAGCTCTAAGAACATGAAAATTTAACAATAACAATTGAAAATTCCAATCCTTCTAGTCATTTCTTACAGCGCAAAAATTTTTCTCCGTATCTTTTGTTTTCCTCCTCCTTCACCACTATTATCACTACCATCACCATCATCACCAACCTGCAACACTATCAATTATATTTATATGTATAATATGTATATATTTTTTTCAATTCTATTGTTGATTTTTCTTTCTACCTGTTTCCTCCCCCGCTTTATTTATAGAAGAAAATTATTTGATGATATAAAATTAGAAAACGATTTGAGCAATTGAAAAGTTTCGAATAATTCTTCTCTAATTGTTTTTTTGTTTGATTGAAAAATTCTCACATCGTTTCATTTTCATTTTCAATTTTGCTAAAAAAGAACGAAATGGAAAAACGGAAGAAAATTCCGTTTCAATATTTTATGGATACAATGGAACCGTTTCATTTTCATTTTTCCTTTTTCATCATTTTCCTTTAAAAAAAAAAAGAAAAGGGAATAGAAAAACGGATGATGAAAATTCCGTCTCAATATTATGAGGATACAATATAGGAAGGATGGAAGATTTTCATTTTCATTTTCCTTAGAAAAAATGGAATAGAAAAACGGATGAAAATTCCGTTTCAATATTTTAAGGATACAATAGAACCGTTTCATTTTCATTTTTCCTTTTTCATCATTTTCCTTAGAAAAAAAAGAAAGGAATAGGAAAACGGAAGGAAAATTCCGTTTCACTATTTTGAGGATACAATATAGGAAGGGTGGTAGGAGTGAAAGGGAGAAGAAGGTAAATGAGTGACATCACTTTTTTGATGATAAAGAATAATATCAGTGAAAAAAAGGGAAAAAACTTTTTTACAAAAGAAATTGTTATCAATGAAAATTTTATTTCAATCAAAAAATAAGCCATTGTATATTTTATAGAATCTTTTAAAAAGAAATCGATGATTTTCAAAAAAGAACGAACATTTTTCTTGTATTTATTATGAAAAGATATTTCCAACATTACTAATTTTTGTAATAAAAATTTTTAATTAAAATATATTTAATTAAAATTAATTTTTGATTTATAATTTTTTTTATTTAATAAGGAAAGCCTGTTATTGGAAATGGATTTAACGTTAATTCTTAAATAAGGGAAGCCTATTGGAAATGAATTTAACGTTAATTTTTAACAAGGAAAGCCTATTAGAAATGGATTTAACGTTATATCTTAATAAGGGAAGTCTATTGGAAATGAATTTAATGTTAATTTTTAATAAGAAAAGTCTATTGGAATGGATTAATTTACTCTATCAGTTACTGATGAGAAATTATTTCATTTCCAATAAATTAATTCTATCAATCACTAATGAGAATGCAAAATTTATTTCATTTCCAGTAAATAAATATCATCAAATTTACTATCAGTAAATGAGTATCATCAAGTTTACTAAATTTTTATGGAAGAAATTTTTGAAATTCATCTTTGTTTAGTAATATTGTTCTTTTTATTTGTCAAAAATTATAAATGGTATAATTTTTTAAAACAAATTTAATTAAGATTCATATTTGAAATTTGTTTATTAGAATAAGGATATACTATTAAAATAATTAATATTTATAAATAAAATAATTTTTCGTATATTTTTAATGTTTGCTTTCACAAATAGAAAAAGTTCTATTTTCTATTGAAGTTAGAAAACAAAAATCTGAGTTATTTGTATTTGCGAAAAATAAACTTTGAAATCGAAAATATTCTGATAAACGGTGCCTTTAAAAAGCTAATGTAATAACATTAAATTGTAGACAATCCTGTGGTCATTCTTTTTTTCTTTTTTCATCATTAATTATATAGTGATCGTAATACACTGGTGAAAATTTTTAATTCGTAAAATTTTTCATTTATTAAAATGACCGTAATAAAGTTGTGGAAACTTTTTAATCTACATGGAAGAAGTTTTACGTATTTTTATTTAGGATCTCAAATCAAAACGGGAGAGGAACGAGCCATTATGTGAAAGTGACCGTAATACTGTGCATATGAATACTCCAACTGAAGAATATGATCCGCCATTTTTTGTCGAAATACGTTGCAAAAATATCGCTGATTACGAACAGCAGCAAGGACGCGTACCTATTAGGCCACAAGTATTACTACATTTCAAAAAACAAAAATTTTTTTATAACTGATACATTTTGTAATTATTCCTTATAAAATTAAGTAACTATCAAATATTACAAAAAAATAATCTTTGGAATGAAATAATTTAAATTTAAAGAAAAACTTACATATTAATGTGTTATTAATTAAATTATCGTAATGAGTGAAAATGAAGGTAATGATGAAATTATTATCTCATTTTTAAGTTACAATTTTATTAACGATTCTTATTGTAAAATTTTAAAGTTTCAAAAATTAAAAATTAATAAGATTCAAAAAAAAAATTAAAAATTAAAAATTAAAAATTAATAAGAAAAATTAATATAGGATTTTGCATTTTGTTCAGCGCCTAATTTGAAAAGATAATTTTAATAAATTATATAGGAAGTTACAATTTTATTAACAATTCCTATCTTAAAACTTTAAAGTTTGTGATTATAACTTTTAACAAAAGTATAAGTTATTTATAATTAAAATTAGTAAGTTAAAAATAATATTGCAAAAATATAATAACAAATTAAAGAGAATATAACTTTCTACAAAAGTATAAGTTATATAATAAAAGTATAAATTATATAATAGTTATATAATCAAAATTAGTAAATTGAAGAAGACATTGCAAAAATATAATAATTAATTATAGAATAAATTAAAATGAAAATCAATTTTAGAAATTAAAATTAGTAAATTAAAAAAGACATTGCGTAAATGTAATAATTAAATAAAGAATTAATTAAAATGAAAATCAATTTTTGGAATCCTTTATTTGTTTTATGATATATTTTAAAAAATTTAATTTTTCAAAACGTGTAAACAATTAAAAATTCATTTGAGTTTAATTATTTTCTTTTCAATTTAAAATCTGTCATCTATAAAATTTATTGTTTTTTCTTTCTTTACTAATCTTCAAATATAATTCGATCTCTTAAGATTGTTTCATTTTTCATTATAACTTAGCTTTTAATATTTGTAGCTTTGCAAATTATTTAAACTAATTTTTACTTTTGAAATTTTGAATAACATATTTAGAATCCTAAAATTTGGCTGCTAGCTTTAATTATTTAAACTAATTTTATAATTATTTAAATTTGGCTGTAGCTTTAATTATTTAGACTAATTCTATAATTATTTAAATTTCTCTGTAGCTTTAATTATTTAGACTAATTCTATAATTATTTAAATTTGGCTGTAGCTTTAATTATTTAGACTAATTCTATAATTATTTAAATTTGGCTGTAATTTTAATTATTTAAGCTAATTTTATTTCTGAAATTTTAAATAACATATTTAGAATCCTAAAATATTTTTCTTTTTTTGATGATTAAATATTTTAAAATTCAAAAATTGTAAAAATGTTGGCATGTAAATGTAATTTATGATTGTTTTAATAAATTTTCTCGATTATACTGTTATTTTTTCATGATTTAAATTACTTGTTTATTTGGTTTACTGAGAATAACTGATTTTAGAAGCTATAAAATTTAATCAAACTTTCATGCTCAATTTGTTATCAGTTAACAAGTATGAAAGAGAAATTTATTATCAGTTAGTAGGTATGAAAGAGGAAGTTAGTAAGTATGAAAGAGAAATTTTATTGGTATAAAATTTTAGGAGGAAAAATTTTTAAAATTTCACTTCATGGACTCATTTTTCTGCTAACTTGAATAATATACCTATCCACCTGTTAAACTTGTTTATTGCATTACAATTTAATGGGGAATTTTTTGACTGTAAAAACAGGCTATCTCTCGAATTTTTGGAAGTGTATTTTTCTTATGCAAGTGGAAACTAACATAATTTAAAGTAAAAGTAAAATGTGTCATTTATAATTTAAAGTAAAATGTGTCATTTATAATTTAAAGTAAAACGTGTCATTTATAATTTAAAAGTAAAACGTGTTATTTATAATTTAAAGTAAAACGTGTCATTTATAATCTAAAGTAAAACGTGTCATTTATAACGTAAAAGTAAGACGTGTCATTTATAATTTAAAAGTAAGACGTGTCATTGATAATTTAAAAGTAAAATTATAAGGAACAAGTTATCAAAAATTAATGGCAGCTTTCTTTAACTTTCAAAAATGTGTTAGAAAAGTTTTTTTTTTCTTGATTAATCTTTTAATGAATTTAATTGTCAATTTTTAATATAAAAGAAATTTTTCAAAATTTTTTTTAAATCCAAAAAATATTTAATAGTTATTCAACGCGTGATATCATTTAGATTAATTTAATAAGAATTTTGTATTTAAGAAAAATAAAATAAAATTTATAAATTTCAAAATTGAGAATCGAAATTTAAAAATTGAAAATTCTAATATGGTTAGTGAAAAATATAATTTATTCTTATATAGGTAATCTCCTGTAGATTTGCTAATTATATTTATTAACTTTCTAATAAGACAATTCATTAACTTATATAATTCTAATTTATACTCCAATTTATTTCAAGTATTGAGTAATGCAGTATTTTCCAATTTAAAATAATTAAATTTGCAGACATGTGTGCATGGTATGTTACGCTGCGTACAAAACTACAAGGATCAGCATTTTTCACGTCGGCGAATTGGCTCTCATAGTTGGCATCCATATACGATTCCTAATGTGCCAAGCTCATGTGAATGTATGTGGCCGGTGGATAAATATGGACACCAAGAACTTTAATATACTTTGAAGTATGTCATAGATTAGCTAAAATATTGAAAAGTTATTTATCAAAATTAGTGAGAGAAATGAAAATATTACTATTCTACATCAAATAACGAATTTATCATAATTGTTAGTCGTAACACTTCTTCTCAATGATAACGCATAAATTAGTATTTTGCGATCAGAATTGAAGCTTGAATTGAAAAGTTAGCTAATAATACGCCAATTGTGACAAATTAATTCATCGATTTATTTTGTTGGTAGAATTATTGTTAGCTCTAAATTTTACTATTTTCATAATATGATTCTTTCATAGAACAATTTAAAAAATTTGCTCTTCCACTTTTCGAGACTAAGATAAATTTTCCACTTTTCGAGACTAAGATAAATTTTCCACTTTTCGAGACTAAGATATGTTTTTGTCTCTACAACTTTTCGAGACTAAAATAAAGTATTTTATGACTTGGAAGGAAAATTGTTAAATGGTATTAAATGGTTCTAATTTGTTGCAATTGAATCATAATTAAATCATCCAACTGTAGAAATGTTAAATTTTATCAATTAAAATTCATTCATTAATTAATTCATTCTACAGGGAATAATATTAAGAAAGGAAAAGTTAGAATTAATGTAAGCTTACCAAAGTATAAATTGAAAGAATATTTACTCAATAAATTTTTTAATTTTTGAAATATTATTTTAGGCTCTTAATTTGAATAATTTTAGGCTCTTAATTTGAATAATTCATTACGTTAATGAAACTATACAGCATGTGATATCGGTGAAAATTGATTTGATTATTTAATATCTCAATAAAAATACCAAAAGATTTTAATCATACCCGATAATCTAAAAGTATCATTTTCCTAAATGCTTTATTTAGATGAATCTTATTGGAATAATGATGTATGGGAGTTTATTGATTCGTGAAGCTAAGCTATTGACACACGTATTATCTATATTTAGATAATACAAATTAAACTTACTTCCCTTATTCCAAAACTTACTTTCCTTGTTCCAAAAACAATAACAATTAGAAATTATTTGAAATTAATTTTTCATCATAATTATTACAATTTTTTTTAAGGTTTGAACATTCGAGCAAATATTGTGATGGAAGTTAGCAAAAATAAAACCAGCTCTTCAATTACAGTCAAAGGTCAGAGAGGAATTACTTATCAGCGACATTTCTTTGTTGAATGCTATATATATATTTTTCCATTGTGTTCATATTTATTTGTTACTAATATAAATAGATTTTGAATTTAATCTCTTCTTTTCATTTGAATTATTGATTGAATACATTTTTTTTATTAATACTACTAAGAATACGGTAAATGTTAACTTTTTGAATTTTTAAATTAATGCAAATAAATCTCAGATATTGATTGAAACGATTGCTTGAAGATGAAAAGAATGTACTTAAGAATGGATTCATTTGAATTCATGAAACTTTCAAGTTCACATTTGCCGGATAATATTTCTACGCATAATCAAATACTATAATGAAGGTTCAAAATTATTTGTTGTAAATAAAGTTGTCAGCGCATTTATTTTGAATTGTAGAAATGTCAGTTTTTAATTGTCTTAATTGTATTCCTTTCTTATGAAAGAGTTACGGTAAAAAAAAGAATGGCTGGAGATAATTTTCGTTTTGTTATATTTCTTTCCATCTATTTTACTTTGCAAAATATTCGTTTGAAATGAAATTGACAAAGTTTCAGATTGATAAAAAATTTCAAATGAAGCTTTTGTTAATTTCCACATAATTATAGTTAGAATAATATATCTTTCCAATGTATCGTAGTATTATTATTTGTTTACAATCATTTGAATCAAAAATTTTTGGGTAGTTAAAGCTTTCAATTATTTTAATGCGTATTATATGTTATGATAAGAGTTCAAATGATCATTTCCTTCACCCTAATTTGTTTAAATTTATTAATCACTTCTTCTTCTTACTCTTTTTATTGATAATTATTTTTATCAGTACAATTGAAAAAATAGGTAAGAATATTTGAAGAAAAGAAATTAAACAATATATGCATAAATAATTTTAATTATTGTTGTTTAAAATGATAAATTTTGTTCCAACAAAAACTATTCCACTTTTATTAGAATAATATAAATTAATATAATATATAAATCATTCTTTTCTAAATCAATATAATTTTATTATCTGATAAAACTACTGTTTAAACTTATTGATAAATATTTCAACTCTCAAATTTAGTATCATATCAGTAAGATTTCAAAATATCTAATCAATTTATAATTTGATTATTCATATTATTTTTTATAATATTATTTCGTTTAAAAAATTTTATTTCTTATTTAAACCTTTGGAAGAATTAAAATATTACTTATCATAAGTTGTATAACTTTGCAAATTAACAGTGTTGTGTGTGTGTGTGTGTGTATGTGTGTTATCATTCATTATCATCCATTATCAATTCGCTGTATGTAAATGGAAATTAATTACCTGAAAATTTTGAAATTATTTCATTCATCTTTGTAAAAAAGAAAAGTTGCTCATTTGTTATTTGTATTTTTTCTTATGCAAATTTTCTTTGAGATTTGCGGAAAAAAAATTAATGAAATTTTGAGTTCAAATTTTTCAAAAATTCCTATAAAGAAATCGATTCAAAAAAGAAAAGAAACAGAAGAAAACTGAAGATAATAATTATCAGGATCAAAAGAAACACCGAATTTTTATCAAATGATTAAGAGAGATAACAATTGATACGAAAGAGAGAGAGAGAGAAGGAAAAAAAGAGTGTCAATTCAACACAAATGATATCGGAATATAGGAATTTTAAAAAATTATTGAAAATATGGAATAATAAAATTTCTTCAAAATTTTCATCAGAAATTATTCTTTCACTAAAATCTTATTAGTAAGCGATACACCTACAAGATAAATTTTGAAGTGTCCGTGAATTCGAATCATTTTTTAAGAGGCGAAAGAAAAAAGGAAGCCATAGAAAGGTAAGCAAAAAATTTAATTATATATAAAATCATATATAAAAATACTGCCCTAATTGTATAATATATAGTTAGTATTTTGCCACCTTTTGTTTTATACTTTTGTTTTGTTTCATATAATTCTTTTTTTTTGTCAAATATTTTCCATGCGAAGAAATGATTTTGTTTTTCGGTGCTTTTCTATTATTGCTATGCAACTTTTATTGTTTGCAAATGTAATAAATGAGTAAATATGTATTAGCATAGCTAAAGATCATCTTAGTATGTATCGTTGTATGCAAGAACGAATCAGTCATCCATTGATACAGGAATAAACGGAATAGTTGGATCAGATATCACTGAAACAGGAATAAACGGAATAGTCGAATCACAGAACGAATCAGTCATCATTGTTACAGGAATAGAACGAATCAGTCATCATTGATAAACAGAATACGGGAATAAATGGAATAAGAATAAACGTAACTGTTAAAAAATAACTGTTCCCAATGAAATATTCCAAGATACATTCTAAGCAAGTTTTCAAAATTACAATTCATATATTTAATGGGAATTCTACTTTTACTAATTTTACCCGTGATCGTGATCTGTAACATCCTGGACAGTTCTCACAAATATTGGAAGAATATTACAGCTGCAAGAATGGATGAATGATTATTGATAAAGGAATAGACGAGATAATATGAAGATGGGATAGCACTTTCTAAAGTTTCAAAAATATATTTTATGGAAATCTATTTTTATTAATTTTACCCGCGATCCATAATGTTCTGAGCAGTTCCTTCAAGTATTGGGAGAATATTATGACTTATCAGTTTCGATAGATATAATTGACAACCGATTATATTTATCGGTTCAGAGACACAATGAAACGTCCAGTATTCAGTGATGTTTTTAAATGAGCATCTGATAAAACGTTATCAGAAAGCTAAGTTAAGAATTTCAATTAGAAGTGCTTGATGTTAACGACTGGAATGGATCAGCATCGCTTTATCTGAAAGCACAACTCATATGGTCTGATAATAAACATTTCCTTGATCTTTGAGGTTATTTGAATGGCTGTATGTAGCTCGCTTTAAATAACGGATATTCAATTTTATTTCACTGCTATTATTACAATTGTATACATTTATTGCTAAGATATTTGATTAGAGACTTCCTTAGATCAGATCAGAAGACTCAAGCTTGATGATGTCGAACTTATAGTTCTGCTGTCACCAGTGATTTAAGGAATGTTATTTTTAGTGAAGAGTTCAGAAAAAAAAGAATGTAATTATTGCGACTCATTTCCACTATATTTCAAATCTGAAGGTTATAGAGAAGGATTTTTAAGAGATTTTGTTTCTCCTTATTTATATATAAAGATCTCTCTTGATAATATCTCATTGATTTTTGTTGGCTTTAGCTTTTTGGATTACTATTTTTAAAATTATTTTGCATTTTAAATTGTGCCAACTTTCGATCCTTTGATTAACATCGTTTGTTTGATTATTAAAACTATTTCGACTGATCGTAAAAGGCATGAAAGATTACGACGTCTAACTGCAGTTCTATTTTTGAATCAAAAACTAAGACTTTATGTTTTTTTAAAAACTCATTATTCTTTTTTACAGAGAAACAAAATCCTTTTAAAAGTCCAACATAAAAACATAAAAGGATGTTACTAAAATAATTAAATGGGTGAGATTTTGAAACCATTCCCAATATCACTGATTAGGAATAGTTTCAGAATCTCACTCATTTATCAAAAACATTGATGACAGTTCTCTTGAAGAAAACAAAACAAAATATTATTCCAGTAGATATCAATTTCAAATAAAAGAATATCTATCACAAAATGACTTTTACTGACAGTTCCTTTACACATGAATTGATTTAAGTGAATAGTGAATTCATCCAGACGAAGTCCTTTGTATTCTTCACATCTAAATATTCGCCAATTAAGTTATTTCATTTTTTTTAAATTTGAGCCGTCTTAATATATTTTTTGAAGAAGGCATGCATTTATTCTGAGCAATTTAATAGCTTTAACCCTCTTCGATAAAAAACTGTTGCAAAACCATAGATCATTCCACAACTGCCATTTTTTCCTTAAACATTTCCAGTCAGATCAATAAGTAAGCTCCAATATTACATACACCAACGACGATAGTTTAAGGACGACTGAAACTAAGCCGGTATTTTGTATTTTCCACTTTTGTCATCATCGATTGCCTTCAGCAATTTTACATCTGCATTCATATCAATCCGTGATAATTTTCGGAAAGCTTCATCACCAACAAAACATATCTCATGATCATTCTACAAAGCAAAAGCCCTTTTATAGAAAAAATATCTATGGAATGTTTAAATAATATATAGATTTTTATTTATAACATGAAATTAAAATAACCCGAGACAATTACTTACTGGATCAGCAAGAATGACAACTTGAACAGCTGCCTTACCGGGAGTATCCAATTTTACTAAAGGAGTCAAAATCTTCTGCTTGGTTTCCTCCATTTTCTTTTGCATTGGTTCTAACTGAAGGTGAAAAATTAGCTGATTTCGCATATCCAACTTCTTAGATTAATTAAGGCCTCAAGTTGTAGCTGCATTTTCTGATTCTTGAGTATATGGAAAACTCAGGGTAGTGAAAAATCCTAAAGAAATGGAATATTTTAATAAAAAAAGACTTTGAATTCTTAGAAAATGGCTTACTTCTTTCATCGGAATGGCGAAAGCTATCCTACCAAAACCGGTACGGCGATCAATTTTAGCGCTAATTAAGTTCCATTCCAACTCGAACTGAAAATATGGCAATTAAGAGAAAGCAGAGCTCATACATAGCATAGGTAGAGCACGGATTTTTCTCATTTTTCTTTTCGCTTAATATTTAACATTCAGTATTCAGTAATATTTAACCATATACTTAATATTCAGTAATATTTAACCAAACTATAATAATAAAATTTCGCTTTGGAATAAGAAAATTACAATTGAGATAACTGTGGCGAGAAGAAAGAAGTAAAACCTTTTCTTTTTCACCAATTAACACAATGGAGCAATTTTCATTCTGTTTCATCTTAGTAAAATTCAGCAATTCAGTCCAGTAATCTGCAAAATTTAAGGAATCTATGACAAAATGAACAGAAATGTTTAAAAACGAAATGAAAAGCAAAGTATTTTCAAAAATTTATAAGAACAGCTGAATTATGTGCCTTCAATAATAATATAAGAATACACTGCAATTAATATCTTCGTGCTTCTTGAACATTAATACAATATACACTCTAAAACAAATCACTAACTGGCTGATGAACTAAACCAATTACATTACTCTTCAAATGAATGCACAGCATTCAGGAAAAACAGATCGATGAATTGAAAAAAAGGTAACGAACTTAAAGTTTCCTTCAGATCCGGCGTATTTAATTTTACTTTATAAATCGGATCTGCGATAGCCGATTCAGAAACATGTGGTAATACGTAAAATTTATGTCCATCAGGATCTTTAATTTCCACTTCTCCATTCGCCGTAATGATAGCTTTCTGATAATTTTTGCAGCTTTCAAACACATCCGTTGATCGAATGCAGATCCCCTGGTATCATTCCAGAAATAAAAAAGTGATAATATGACGTAATAATCTTTCCATTCAAATCAAATAACGACTCTTCAAACTACACAATACAAAGTTAATTTACTTCAACTTTCAACAGGATCTCCTTAGCCTCAACTCAATAATCTAAATACACCAGTTGGATTGGATTATGGACACATTAGAAATTAATTTCATGAAATTAGTAAATAAGTAATTTGCTAGACAAGGATGGGCAAAAATTAGAAACTTATTCAAGGAAGATATGATAACTTACTCCGAAATCATTACCCAATTCATATGAACTGATTGGATAGTTATACGTTAATTCCAGTACAAAATGATCATCTTCACTTCCATAACCGACCATCGTTTTACTCCACCTACCATTATATGGTCTGCAAAAAAGTAGAATAGAATGTGACAAGGAAAAGGAACAAAAGAATAAAAGTAACAGAACAAATAATCAACAAATTTCAAATTAAACAAGGAATTGAAAAAGTCAAAGAGATAAAAACGAACCCATTACATGTAGCTTTACAACCTTCCTCAAATTCTTCATGCCGTAGAACCTTAAATATCTTGGTATTCTTATAATAATGGTTATTTTCTAAGGGTTCATTATGAATCCATCAAATGAAGTCATGTTAGAGTGGAATATTTCTTTAAGACGTCAACATTTAGCAAAAATATTGAATTGATGGAAAAAAATGCTGCAGCATTTTTTCCTTGGTTAAATTTAATATTTTTGCTATTAAATTATTACCTTCATTATTATTACATTACTATTAAACTATTATTCAGAAAGATTACCATTACCTTCATTTTTAGAATATTGACAAAAAAATCACGACTCATTTTTCGATCAGCAATTTTGAATACATAATGTAGTGCTCGTGTCATCGTGAATACAAACTAACTAGAACATATTAAATTAATAATAATTTTAAACAGAAAAGTAGTAAAGAAAAAACGTATCGCGAACAGAACTGAACAATGTGCACAGAATACAATGAATGTAAAAGATGGTAGTGATAAGGTTCGAGAAATGTTTTTCGACATAATCGTCAGGCCTTAGACATTGGACAAAGTCAGCATTAATTTGTACGTATAGATTACGTACGCCTACGTATAATGGGATAGATAAAATGTTGTATAATAAGCTTACCAATAAACAAAAAAGCACTTTTGTAAAAGAATATGAAATCTTATAAATAAAAACTAACAAAGCCACAAACTAATTCTATACAGATTTGAAGTAATCGGCATTAGGCTTTCATTTCTAATCGACTATAACTTCACTTCATTTTCTATAGTTTTACTTTTTCTTCGCTTTTTCTGAAAAATACTTTAAATGTGTGAAGGGGATCTTGAATTTTAGAAGGAACATCAAATTTGTCAAAGAATGAAAATATTTTAAAAAAGCTATCTAAAGATCTACACTTCTAAAAACTTTAGAGGTCTGCAAGATCAATGTTCTAGACGCGTCATACTGTGCTAATGAAATAAGGGAAAAAGTTAAAGTTGGGAAAATGATATGATTTCATCAATTTTGGTGACACTGCTGATTCTTTACATGAAAATAGGGATTAAATCTTATTTAAGGTTAATAATCAGAAGGTTAATAATCAGTCCTGCTTTCAGAATGGAAGTACTGCTCACTGTGAATCAAACCGCTGCAGCTCCACAACTTTCTCCGAATAGCTGAACGTTATTTCTTAAAAATTCTTTTTTAAACTGAAAACCAAATTAAGACAATAAATCCTGATGCTGAAATGTTGAAGCTAATAATCGTCTCCATAACTAATGAAGAAAGAAAGATAAATTTAAGCAAAAACTTATCCCTTTCTTGGTTATGAAAACTTCATTAAATTACTTTTATCTCTACGCAAAAATTCATCGTCCTTCTCCATCGCTGTCATCCATTTCAAGTTTTTACCTCGCATCCCATTCTTCATTTTGCCAGAACACCTGACAATCTTAGGCTTTTGGAATTTTGGATAAATCCTTCTCCTACCAACTGCTCAACTGCACTTGAGAAATGTAAATTTTAGAGAGGAACCTACAGAAAACTTCTAATGAACTCAATGAATCTTTCAATGAGCTAATCCAAAGGATGTACAAGCAGTTGGATCTTTTCCAACACCGCTCAAAATAATTCTAATAACTGAATCGGAAATAAATGCTCCTAACTTATCATGATTAATTTGTAGAACTCAAGATAGATCATGATGTAAGAACACGGTTTCAAAAACCAGAGATTTGAAGCAACTCAAAAATCCATGGAACTTTCATAATCAACAAGATTTTAGCCTTTACCTGCTACAACTGTCATATGGAAGTATTCTTGTTCATTTTTAACGATTAGACTGGTATACAATCAGAACGTCCTCAACCCAGAAAGCAACCACACCTTTCATTTCAAATTCTCATCAAAACACAGGAGGCGAACCAATCATGTTTCGCTTCGGGCCTTCCATCAAGTACCATCTTAGTCTTTATGATTCCCCAATTTAGGATCAAGAAATCTACAAAAATATTCTAGAAGTTATACAAAAACTTTATTATCTTTTTACCATACGTGTAAAAACTAATTTTTCTTGTTATCTTTTATTCTGCGATTTGATTATAAAATAAGTGTTCCAACGCTTCTATGAAGTAAGTACTGACAAAAACATCAACCGGAGGAGAAAAACTTGTATCGCTAATTGATTATAAAAAATTTTTTTTCACAGTTTTGTTCACTACTTTATCAGCTGCATCTGATTTGATCATGGATTATTTGCACGGCATTGTTTGAAAATTTCTTTAAAGCCTTGGCACAAGCTGAGGTCATTCTGTGTATCGGCACTGAAAGAATGAAATATTATTGAGGTTTTAAATCTAATATGCACGGAATTTCTTTACAATTCTCCCAGAAAACAACAGCTTAAAAAAATTATGGTGAAAACAGAATGGAACTTGCGCAACAAAACTTCCACATCTCCATATATATATATATATGCTTTCCTTAATGAATACATTGCTTTTTGCTGTGAGGGCAAAAATGACTTTTTGTATATAAAAAATAATGCCTATTTACAAGAGAAGAATCTCAGCCAAGTACTGACTCAACATGTTTTATAGGATCCTAAATAAGTTTAAATAAGACATGTAGTTTTTGGAAAGAGTTAGTCTTCGTCAAGCGTTTATTGAAATCTCTTGAATATAAGAAACTTTTGTAAATTTGACACAACCCAAAAATTAACCATTCTATAAATTGTTTCCATTCAAATTCACACGGATTACTGTACTGCTGATGTTGTTCCATCTGTTGCTTCCCAGATGGAGTAATTTCACCGTTGTTTCCATGGCCACTACCCCCAGTTAACATGCCACCGACTGCATGGCCCTGAAAACGCATAAACGGGGTCTTATCCAGCAAGTTTCATGGTTTTCTCTAAATACTAAAAGTTAACAAAATTTGATAAATGGCTACAAAAATTAACAAAACTAACAAAATTAAAAAAGCAACAAAATTAACGAACCTCCCTAACATAATGCAGTGACATTATGTATGAACTTTTTAGCTCTCAATACAGAGATGGAACTAATCATGTTCGAAGTACAAATAACTCACAACTGCAGAGCCGATAGCAACACCACCAGCCGTTGCAGCCATCTGTCCCATCAATCCAGGTCCACGTGATGGAGGTGCCATACCGAAATGTGTAGGTGATGTTGCATTTGGTGATGGCGGGCTTGTTTGCATCGGTACTGGTGTAGAACGTGCAGTCATCGGCGATGACGTACGACGGTGTACTGGTGGAGACGGTTTCGGTGAAGCCATACGACGACGAACCATTTTTCCAACTTAATCACTCAATAAACTCGAAGAAAACTAACAGGCTGCTAAATTAACACAACGAATCTGAAATCAGTGAATTCTGATAAAGACACGAGTATTTTTTGCGGAAATCGTCAGATCACATGATGTAACTACACACTCGAGGAGAAGAATATTACTGCATATAAGAAAAAGACTCCCTTGCCGAGAACTATCGTATAATGACATGAACCAATACTTTTGCTGTTTCCATGCCTTTTTGCCACCTTTTTATTACTTTATTTAATGCATACTAAGTTTGGGAGTAAATCTTGCAGAAAGAAAACGACCGGCCGATCAAATCCGAGCTGTTTCTTAGTCCAACCAGCATGCTTTCTTCAATGAATTACTTCGTGATGGGTAATTTTCAGAATAAAACACAAATTCATCACCCACAATTATAAACCCCACGTCCGGCTAACAAGACAAACCCTGACACAACTGCTCCTCACACATTCTACAGCACAATTAGCTGACTCATTCAAAACAGTTGTTCGATCAGAAAAGTACCTGAAGCGCCAGACAATGTGTAGCAACGCTATTGCTTACTTTTCTAGCTACAATTTTTATTGAAAAGATTAAGATTCATACATTAAATATTTTTTGTCATATTTATTATTGATATTCTCATATGAGTTGTTGCGAAAAAAATTTAGTTGTATTGTATTGTCATCTTCTATGACTCTTTTTTGATATGTACACAAACTGAACACTTACCTTTTTATGATATATTTATTTATTCTTTCCTTTGGAATTATCTCTGATATGTTTCTGTTATTGTGACTTTCTGATTTTGTTGTATAAAGGTTCACATTTGTCACAGTTTTTCCTACTGTCAACTGAATTCCTAAATTGTACGGTAATCAGATATCTGTAACTCACTGCGTTCATTTTTAAGGAGACTTAAAACTCATTCACTACAATACTGCTCGAATTAAACTTACTATCTGACAAGAATGATAATCAGCAAATTATGTATAGGATTCTGAAGACGGCAGACGTTCCCAGCCTGGTATCTTTTTTTGCCTTCAGAATGAATTTAAAGTATTCAAAGTCAGTGAAAAGGTGTTGATGGTGCTGCACACTAAAATACGCCAATTACATCTTGCCATTCTACGGAGTATTTCATTGAAAAAATAGTTTAAATTTTAAATTTTGCCCTCCAACATTGCTGCTTAATGGTTATATACGGCGGAAGAGTGAATGTGTTGTTTTAAATTAGAGTTATCTGTACTCACTGTAACTTTCGTATGTGATGTACACGGTCTTCATTGTTCAGATAGTTTTAGTATTCTTATATAGAGTTTAACAATATCGCCAGTATTTCTAAATTGGTTTCCAAATGTAACTGCTTAGCATATCAGCTTTTCAAAACTTTCCAGGGCATATATTTAGAGTTAGCTTTGCTTACAATGCTATCAGCACCAGGCAGTCAAGCAACGATATTTTGCAACTACCCAGAAAATTCAAATGATTATAATAAGAGTCCCACCAATTTCATCTCCAATATCTGCCGGACATTTACTGCAAAGTTCTTAGCCCGATCGATCTCAATTTTTTGGCGGTGAGGGAGACTTCGTGTGGCCATTATTTGTTTTTTATTGCACAATTTTTCTCGTCGGTAGCTTGTTCTTTTATGAAACTTATTTTCTTATTTTATGTCCATACAGTTTAATAAAGATTTCATACTATTTGTGGTTTTTATAAACAAACCTAGAATTGTCCTTTGAACATTATGAGTTAAATAACTCAGTGATACATTTTCTAAAATTTAAAAATTGTTTAAGGAGGACAAGAATGCTATCACCGCTTAGAATGTGTGATGTACAAATATTTTACCAGAAAAACCGTTCTTATCAAGTACTAACAATGTTGAAAACCAATTTAAGGTGATGTCCGTATGATAAAGTAATATCATGCGTAAATTCATGTTAAATACAAAAACCAGTTGCATAATTTCAATCATTCCTTGTACTGGAACAATTTGCTTGACTTAATAACAAATACAATTAATAACTGGAATCGCGACATTGAAATATTCAAAATGATTCAACAACTTCCTCAAACTTCTTGGCTTGATTAAACATTAGGAACTGGAGCGACGTAACCAAATATCTGTATTTTATATGCTTTATGGAATTAATCTGTCTCGGCACTGTAAATACCCAAACCAGTACCAGGAACTGTCTTCTAATTGCAAACTGAAAGTTCCCAGTCAAACTCCACATTCCCTTTGACTTATTTTGATTTATAAGTGAAATTGTTTTAAGGAATCGAGAACACTGAGATAGAGGTTAATATCATCACCCAACAACTTCATTTCTTCAACCACTGACAATTCTCTCTCGCTTTCTGTAGATGTAAACTGTACATCGAGCATTTCGTTATATTTTTCGATGGCTGCCAACGCCTGAAGAAATCATTTAAAACTCACCAACTTGTAGAAAACATTAGAAAACCTTGACATAGAACAAATACAGAAGACAGTTCCGACCAGCATCATTTTTCTTGAAAATTTTGATCTCTTCAGACAACCAATAAAGTCGGAGACTTCAGTTTGCAAGGAATATTTCAATAATTATGAGAGAAACAAGAATGATCTTAAAAAATTGGATAACCGAACAAAACAATTACTTTTCCGATACCAGTTATTCTTTCGTCGAATTCAGCAAGTTCTTCATGTAATTTCTGTGCAGCTTCAAGTTGTTGCTGTTCAACACTGCTTAACAAATCCTGAAAAGCAGAAACAATATAAAACGACGAGATATCCTTATCAGTAGAAAAAGATGAAAAGTATTACTTCATAAACGAATTCCTTGCAGTAACTTTGGACGAATGCAGCTGCAAAAGGGTTTACCAAATAGTGCAGTGATATTAGTAATTAAAATACAGTATTTTGCATATTGAAACCTGAACAATTTTCTCGAACCATGTTATTGCTTAATCTTAAAAAAGCTCCATATCCCAAACCTACTCCAAGAAATAACTGAAGACTGGCAGATCCTTATATTTTTTGGTTCTATTACGCGTGACATACAATCAGCAACAGTGACCGACAGGAACCCATAATCTGTGCAAGCACTTGAAAATTACTGAGCTGAAATTTCATGACGCAATATTCAAATTTTTTGCAAGAGAATAAATTACCCCGATTCTTTGCTTTTCGAAACTTCGCAGTACATCAATTTCAATTAGCGATACTGCATCCTGCAGCAGTGTTGTAGCGACTGCCTCCTGCTCTTTTGCCTCCTTTGCCATACGCCTGATAACATAGTCTGATCTAACAAGTGTTTCCTGCGCCTAAATAAAAAAATTTTAAATGATGAAGTTACCTGAACAGAAAATCAAAAAAAGCCTAGTTTTACTACTACTTTTTCAAAAATAATTTTGTATCAAGTGTACAAAAAAACCTAATCCTTAAATGGAAGAGCAACTTTTTACTTTGACCATTTTTATTTCAATATCGAGCCATCTTTCATGATGTGAATGGAATAAAAAGTGATCATTTGGCAAGAGATATTGAAATAAGAGACTCATCAACGTTTCACGATAAGCTTTTTTGTGTCTATAGCGATGAGGAAGCATTTTGGAAGAAAGCAAGACTCAAAAAGCCAATGACTTGTGGTCAGTAAGGTAGCACGAAATGAACTTACACATGATTTTACATAAAAAACAACAAAAAACACATTACCAAATTGATACCTCGCATAGGCGTACGATTTGTTCATTATGTTTGTTTTTCTTCGCACGAAGCTCTATAAGCTGTACCGAAGGAATGCGTTTTCTATGCGCATCGACAACAGATTTTTGCTTTCGAAACTGTAAAAGTTGGAAATTGCTTTTTTGATGAACAATTACCGCGGATATATTGTATTCTCTTTTTGAACAACCAACACATGGTGACAATATAATCCTGCACAAATTGCACTGTATGAATCATGCTCGTTCATGTTGATTCTCTAAATGGATGATAACCTGCAACATAGCAGAAACAGTTTTTTGAAACGCCGAAACATACCTTTGAAACACACTGATCAGAAGTTGGTTGTTGTTTTGGCAGATTGCATTTGGAAGGTGGTAATTTCGGAGTTGCGAAGGTGACGTGCTGCAGCGATACGTATACTTCTTCAGTTAAAGGTAAGCAACTCATTCTTAATGGCTCCTATCATTCATTCATATGAGCTCACTCAAAATTGACCATGTTTTGTTGAGCTATATAGTTTATTTGGGACGAAAATCCCTCGTAATATATATTCCCCATATCTCTTGTGAGAGGAATTATTCTTGAACAAAATTTTTTTTCAAACCAGTTTGCATATGTCAAAAAATGCTCATAAAAAATTATGAGTTAAAGACTTACTCGTTTAACATCCGAATCTTTCGATCGAGTTTGAGCTTGCGCTGGTTGCTTCTTCAATGATGGTCGTAGGATTGTTGCTTCGCGTAGCTTATTTGACATCAGTAATCGAATTGTCTGAGAGGAACTAAATCTGTATTATTTAAAAGTGAAATCTAGAACTCTCTCTCTCTCTCTCTCTCTCTCTCTCTCTCTATAACTTAAAATTATTTAGACTCACTTCGCTAATAAATTCACATTTCTTAATATTTTAATGGCTCAAGAGAAAATAAGCAATTTGAATGACAATATTCATCATTGGCTAGACGATACCGTACATTTAATTGCTACTATACATGGAATAATGAGTTCATGTATGATAAACCTCTTCAAATTACACAATACCCTCCTTCTTCCACAATTCCAATCTCATGACATAAACCTTCTCCGCTCAGAAAAACGGCTACGCTCGACAGGATTTCATCTCTCCAATGATTATTGTTACGTGATATACGTTCTCTGTTACGTGATATGCGTGAGGACACATTATTTCCTTTCATAGAAATTTACAAATTTAATTGAGAAACAAGTTTATCATCCTAACAATTAAAATGCAAAGATATTTTAAAACGATTACTTTTTACCGCCATCCGCCAAATTCTTTCATTCAATCATTCTATGCATACGTGACTTTTGTTAAGAATCATGATTTTCTTCACTTATCCAATGAAATAGTAAAAAAGTCACGTAGATATGATAGGATAAAGGATTACTTAAGAATTGCTTTTTCAATCAAGTAATTTGCATTCTTAAGTAAGTAATTTGTGTTTCTTGGACTGGTAAAACTAGTCTTAAGTAAGTAATGTTTCTTGAACTGATAAATAGTAGACTTAAATAAGTAATTCGTGTTTCTTGGACTGATAAATAGTAGTCTTAAGTAAGTAATTCGTGTTTCTTGGGCTGATAAATAATAGAATAGTAGTTTTAAGTAAGTAATTCGTGTTTCTTGGACTGATAAATAATAGAATAGTAGTTTTAAGTAAGTAATTCGTGTTTCTTGGACTGATAAATAATAGAATAGTAGTTTTAAGTAAGTAAGTAATTCGTGTTTCTTGGACTGATAAATAGTAGCTATTTATTTTCTTATACTAACACACATATAAATATGAACAGCTAAGTGCATAAGAACAAAACAAATAAGGTGAAAGAAAGAAATGATGGATGCAAAATTCAAATGATAGTTTGTGCTCTCTTCATCAGATTGTATGAAACATTTTGGTTTCTCTCACGAATTCCTTTTCCCAAAAATTAGTTGACTCTCCCTTGAAGTTAATTAACTTTGATAGGTAAGACCTTTATAGTAATTCAAATAGCAACAAATAATTAGGCCAATAATGAAAACTGTTGCTTATTCTGGTATGAGCAAACAAATCAAATTAGATAGAATTTATTATTATTGGGCGATAGATTATTAACCCCATCAAATCAGAGTTTGTTTAGTAGTGAAATAATTTGATGTATTAAAAAGTTTCACGTTTTAGTAATTTATCATTGTATTGTCATTTTCAGTTTCTTTGAATTGGGGAGTTGAAAATTGAATGGTAAACTATTTATAAAGAAATTGTACAAACGAATAAATTAAATAAATTCAATAAATACTTATTAAGATATTAGCTAATGAAATATGGCATTCAGTTATAATATGGCAAACAATGAATGGATTTTTCATAATAATCAAATGATGTGAAGGTAATTTTGGATTTCAATTTTTTTAGAAAAATTTTTTGCTTAAAAATCTTTTGGAGAAAAAATATTCATTTATTAGACTTGTATCCTTTTTTCCTGATTGTTGAGGTACAACTGATATTCCTGCACTGCTCGAAGTAATAAATCTTCAGCATTTTCCTTATGCCAATCTTCCAATTGTAATTGACTTGTTTCATCTAATTTTGAACTTTGGTGAAGTGACTTCTAAAACAAATCATTTTAATTACTATCCAATGATTTTTTAAATCTAACTAACAGGAAGAAAATCAGAATATTAAACTTACTGTATCATTTTTTTGAGAGAAATTTTGCTCAGACATATTGATATTTCCTGAAGTTTCTATCGATCGACTTAAAGCTGGAAATATATGAAAAGCTGATCAGATCAAAGAATGGAAATCAAAATTACAGCTAAAAAATTCTATCGATACTTTTTTAAATTATCACGAAAAATTTGATCTCATCAAGTTTATTGAGCAAAAGTTAAAGGCAGAATTCTAGCTAAAGATCACATTAATGATCAAAATCATTAAATCTTCTTTAAATCTTAACCTTACCTTCCTTTAATATTAAACCATTTCATAATGTAAATCATTCTAAACTTGTAATATCCTTACATCTTTGATTGTTTGAGCATAACTTGGATCGATATTTTTTTTTAAGTAGGCATTCATTCAATAACTTCTTCTTGCTATAAATTACATTTCTGAAAGTAGGAGCAGTGAAAATATAAATAAGTAAATTAGAATTAACGATCAATTCTGATTTTAATTGCATAATTTTTATTAACCTGGATTTTCATTAACATTCATATCAAATTGTTTCGCTAATCGAGCTATAATTATGTCTACAGGAATTTGTTTAAAGAATTGTTGCATAAGCAGATAGGCACCGACAATTTTCGACTTTTCAATGAAAAAGATAACCATAATTGTTTAATAACCAAAAAGTTTTTAAAACAATCAACAATGATTCCAAAAAAAAAATTCAAATTGATAATCTTTTGATTTCAATAAAGAAATTTTTGAAAATAATATTAAAATACTAGTAAGTTATTATCTAATTGTTTTTAAACAAACAGAAACTTACGTTGTATTTGTTGTCGGAGCGGTGATTTCCGCTGATATATTATTATCTTTATTAGGACCATTTTTCCCATCTCTCTTAATATTAGAGGTGAAATTCGATGACACTTTCGTATTTTTCATTTTTACATCATGTGTATCATTCTCGTTTTCCAAATGTGTTACAGAATTTGGCGCCGTATTGGATGTTAAGGATGTTTGATTAATTTTGTCAGATTCAATTTCAACAATTGCTCTTGAATTTGCATGCGCTTCTGATATTTGTTCCTTCTCGTAATCTGTTAATAAAAAAGTTTCTGTTGCAGCTATTTCATCATTGGAATGATCCATTGTTGTCGAGAGTTTAGGATTTGTTTTTGTTGAAGATGATATTTTAGAAGATGAAGGTAAAGTTACAGGAGTTGATGACGTCTTGGAAAGCAAAGTTGAGGTCACAGAAATTTCTGGAATTTGTGAAACTGCATCATTTTTTTTTAATTTCAATAATCTCTTCGTAGTTTTTTGAAAATCCTTTTCCTTATGATTTTTAGACTTTGCAGCTTCAGAAATCATTGATGGCTGATGTATTTCGGACAATGTTGCGTTTATCATATCATCTAGTACTTCATCAAAAAATTCTTCCTTACTACTATTCGGTAGTGTTTGAGACTCGGGATTTATAACTTGCAATTGCGATTGTTCCGAAGGTGAGTTTTGTGATTTTGAGAGTTCAGAGTCAGTTGTTTGTGATTGTGGATGCATTTTTTGATCGTATTTATTGGTGACATTTTCTTCTATCGAAAACATTGAATTCGGCTCCGGAATTTTATATTCTTTAGACTTCTTATCTACCACCAATGTATGTATAGGTAACTCAAACGTATTTATTGATTTTTCTCCCTCCAGTGTCACTGGTTTCTGTGATAATTTCTGTCCTTTTGCTTTAACAGAAATTTTTTCAAATTTCATAGAATCCGATCCATGATGAAATGGTTTCTCATGTTCATCAGTGAATCGAGAGTGAAGAGATTGATGGGTGAATTTATGTCTGTTTGTAGATTCATGTTCCGATGATTCATTGAAGTTTGTACGTTTTGTAGTCCTTTCGTTAAAGGATTCATCAGACTCTTCATCGCTGTCCGTATCAGGAGTCATTTCAATAGCATCGTCATTGTCATACTCGGAATACACTTTATAACTAACAGATGACGATTTGTCCTCTAACACTGGTAAAGTTACTTCGTATTCTAATGAATCAGTTTTATTTAAAGATTTGTTCTGTAACTTTTGCCTTCGTTTCTTGTGGTCTTTGGATTCCTCGTCAAATTCAGAGAACAATTCTACTTTCTTAAATTTCTTTGGGATTTCCTGCAATGGTTTGATATTAATTCCATTTGTTGTCTGTGTTTCCATATTGCATTTATATAGCTTTACTGATCCAGCAGGTTGCTCCGAAGAGTCATCTTCGTCAGAGGAGTCTGTTTGACCTTCTAAAATACAACCATCTTCATCCATATCTTCAGACTTCTTTTCATTTTTTTCCACTGCATCATGAAAATTGCGTTCGTCAAATGAATGTTCATGCTCATTCTCTTCAATATTTATCATCTTTATTTCTGTTTCACTTTCTCCTTCGTCAAGTTGCAAAAATGGTACATCAAACAATTCGCTAAAGTTTTTTAATGCCACTGTTTTATATTCTGAGTCGTCAATAGGTGTATGGACCACCAAATTCTCTTCATTACGGTTTTTTCCGTATATCATGTTATCAAGATTTCCCTGATTTTTTAACTTTTCAGTAGTTCTCGAGATTGAGATCGGATTCTCGGAAACACTTACTATTTTCTCGGTCTCATTTGCTTCAGTGCTTGAGATGTTGCTTGCAATCGGACTCGAATGTTTCGTAATATTGATGCTTCTCAGAAGACTTTTCAAACCTTCTTGCTTTTCTTCGTTTTCTTTAACCGTTTGGGATATCTTTTTGATAGCTTCTCCCAGAAAATCAAAAAATTTTTCAAATTTCTTGATATAAACAACATTTGGACTATTATTAAGCATCCCATTTTGATTTCGAACATGTCCATTTTCATTAGTTCTTGAATGACTTTCCAATTGTCCTTCCTTTACAGTTGATGTAAGCTTACGATCTCTTTGCATTATTGGTGGAATAACTGGTGAGATGTTCTCATCAGAAATCGAATTTCCTCGAATTTTTTTAATATTATTGGTTTCAATTACATCTCTGTTTTCTGATCTTTCACTATTGGCGAATATTTTGGAAATTAATTTGGATTCATTGGAAAGGAATTTTTGATATTTTTCATTTAATTCCATAAATTTTGGTACTGCAGTAACAACTGTACTGAAATGCACACTACTTGCGTTAGATGCAATCAGTTCTCTGATACCTGGATGTGATTTATCACTAACCGTCAGCTTTATGTCAGCTTCTAGATCTGGAATTAATTAAATTAAAGCATGATTACCAGTCTTAATTTTATGCGAATACTTTATTTAAAGAAGATAAGTATTTAAAGAAGATAAGATAAGTATGCGAATACTTTATTTAAAGAAGATAAGTAAAGAAGATAAGGACATTTTTTTTTATTTAAAGAAGATATAAAGTTCGCATTTAAAGAAGATAAGTAAAAATTAGGAAGTAAGAAATGCCCTCTTAGGTAATATGAAAATGAAACTGTTCTTCAAAAATAATAAGTAAGGTGTTTTGTTATCTAATTATCTACATTTTATAATAGTGAAAAGTGAAATGAGTACTAAAATGAGGATGAAAGAGACTATAAAGCAATAACGTAATGACGACATTACCTGAACGACGTCTTCTTTGTCTGGGTGGTTGCTGATTATGCGGTTTTTTAGAAGGACTGAAAATGATCAAAGCCGGTAGAGATGTTGCGGCATTTTTAGCTGCAGAATATTCATTTTGTACCGTTTGAAGAAGAATTTCATCAGCAATTAGGTTTTGCAACGATACATATTCAACTGGATCGATATAAGCGTTCTGAATTAAGTATTTTATGAAGGAAAATGATTATGAATAACAAAGGCAAATTTTCATTAGGAACGAATCCGTCTGAAAATTATCTTTGCTATTTATTAGTCTTAATTTTAAACTTTTTTTAACCTTATTAATATCCACTTTGTTAAAAATTTTCTTTAAAAGAGATTTTTTTAATTGCTTCTCATATCCTTGCACCAATTCACTGAACGATACTGCCTCATCACCGTTCTGATCGAGACTCTAAATAATCTCCTTTCAGGTAGCAAAATGTGAAACGAACTTAAGATTCTTAATATGGATTTTAAATTGACTTAGAAATGTTGACAGCTTTCATAATAGTAGCATTCATTATTAATATTTTTTGGCAACTGGTTTGAATTTAATGATACTGATAACGAGAATTATGCTTTAGCCTATTATCAAATGCTCTATTATCAAATGCGAGCTTTTAAGGTTAATCGGATGTAGAAAAAACTAACGGATCGTTTGTTCAATGCAGTAATAGCAGCTTTTTCCCGTAATTTAGTGAGAAAGTCGATTAACTCTAACTCATTTATCTAAAAATAAATTATTATTGCTAAAGCATATATAACACTTCAAATCAGAGTACTTAAATCCACTACTGGTATATAATGATACTTCAGTTATATGTTTGAAATTTTCAAGCCTTTGGGTTTCGGACATATCAAATTTCTGCAATTTCTTAATTTTTTAAAAAAGCTATCTCAGTTTAAAAAATGAGGGGATATCAAAGAATACCGTATGATCGGCTTGATGGCTAGCATCTTTAAAAACAATTGTTGCATAGCTGGGTTCAATACCATAACGTAAATCAGCTAACATTTGCGCTTCTTGAATATTCAAACGATGGTCTCCATCAGTATCATAGATCTGAATTAGAATAAGGAATAATGAATGTAAAAGGTCATTTTGAAAGTTTGTTAAACCCTACGCGCAATTTTTTAGATTTCCGATTTCTGTTAAGAGACAGATTAACAGTTAACAGTTAAAAGACAGATCACTGACCTTTTTTCAAAAAACATTGTTAATTTCAGATAGGCTAATACTTTCCGTGCTCGAATTCATTTTTACGTATCTTGAATCTCTGATCTCTAGAATCTTATTCCATACTTCAACAAATAGAAATCACCTTCGGTAATCTAACCGACAAACCTTCAATAGTTCTTTTGCTTCTTTTAGTGCCAATAATCTGCTGCAATGGAGCGTTTCTATCAATTCACTGGATGACAAATATCTATCTTTGTTGATATCACTTTCTTGAAAACAACCGCTCACATCTCTCTTTGATAAACCAAGCTCCATGTAAATAGATTCGAATAATTCTGCTTCATTTAGTAGGCCATCGCCGTCTGTATCATGATCCTGAATGTTCAATAAATAAGATGTCTTAACTATACATCTCTTAGAGAGTCTACAGATCTGATACGATATTCATGAACTATTAGTTAATTGAATAACATATGGTTTGTTTTGAAAAATAATTATTAAATATTCAAATTGCTGCTTTGTATTAAATTTAATTTAAAAAAAAATATCACTTCTAGCCAACGCAAGGTGGCTCGTGCGACGTGTCTTTGGACTAGTTTAGCTGCTGCAATAATCTCAATTCGATCTATAAACTTATCGCCATTTCGATCCGCTTTCCGAAATATATCCTAAGAAAAGGAAGATTTAAAAGAGCCCAAGAAACAATGAGCCCGAATTTTGTTCCATTTTAAATCGATCATACTATGATCAAAAGATATAAAATTGATTTGGAAAAATATAAAGTTAAGAATGAGTAATGAGAAAATGAGATTTCCGAAAAAATAACCAAGGTATTACATTGCTTATTGTTGATGGAAGTTTGTGATTCATATATGCTACCGTCCTTAATTCTCGATTATCAACTTTTCCATCTCTCGTTAAATCATAATGAGTCATGTATCGATTTACTTGAAACAAAATTAGGTTTGAATTTCAACGGACGATGAATGGTTACTTAAAAGTATACAACGAAAATGAATAAAACATAAGGCACTCAAAATGAATTCATCAGTAAAGAGTAAGAAGTAATTTAATTTTTGCCATATAACTTCACCTGTTTTGCATTTTCCATGGTATGTATCAAATTATCTTGCATACATGCAAATAAGAGATCTTCACCGTTGGAGATTTCATGTAATTTTCAAATAAGGTTAAACTTATAGCTTACCTGTACTATGAGCAGTAGTGCAAAATAACATACTAATTGTGGCAAATAATATACATGATCGAGACATTTGTATATCTTAAAAAAAGAAGAAAAAATAAACTGTACGCATTTGTATTTCAAATAAATTTAGGTCATCCATCATTTTGTCTTTAATGCAATTGGCATCAACGAAAATTAGTTTTTATTTTAATACAATCACTGAAATGATATTGTACGCTCAAGATGGGTTGCCATCAACGAGGATTAGTTTTTGTTTTAAGGGGGGCAGAAATGAAATTAATATTCTTTTTAATAATGCGATACTTTTCTGTGTCTTTTTAATATCAAGTTTTATCGCAGCTAAATTTAAGAATTTTAAATTGAAGTAATCAAGATTAAAATATTAACTTATAATTTCAATTCACTGACTAATTTACGAGTTTATGATTTTCGTTTTTCAGGTATTTTAGCAGTGAAGATATATCTTTTTCTTCCTTCATAAAAGACAAATTATCTAAGAAGGTCAAGCTGTAAGTGATAGTAACAATGTTGCTGTTCCATAAAGGAATAAATTAAGTTACCGAGTATCAAGAGAAATTTCTTGATTAAAATAAGGAATATGTCATGAATAGGAAATTCTAGGAAAAGTTGAAATAGCTATCATTTCGACTTGAATAATTTCAAAAAGAAGTGTGGAACAATCAAATATTTTGATAGGAAATTAAGAGAAACGCTCTCAACAAATTTGACATAATTAGATGAGCTCAGTTTTATTTCATTCTCTCCTACTCATATGTCCTACATTATTTCCACAAATATTTTAATAAAAACTGCAAAAAAAATCAGCGCAAATTTTTCTCTTCTGGGTCAAAATCGCAATGGAACGGCACAGGAACATCTCTAAAGGAGGCATGACCTCAAATCTTTTTACGGAAAGGAAGTGTCGTTTAATAACGGTACTCCAGCTAAGCAGAATTACTTCCAATTATTTTGTCATCTTTTTTATTCCAAATATGTGACATAACAAACATTGAATGTTGATATATTTCCAGTTTGCAGCTAAAAAAGAAGGTATGAATAATGTAACCTTCATATACCGCGTGCCGATATCTTATATCCGGCGATAAAGCACCAATGATTTGCAACATATAAACCTGGAACTAGTACCCCATCTGTGAATTACAAGGCATTATCTGTGAGGCGCAATTTATAATGTGATCGTGAAGGTATTTGAATACGTCGAGATCTAAGTTACTGCAGATACTGCAGCAATGCGCAAAATGCTGCAGATACTGCAGTAATGCGCAAATATGAACATCAAATGAAAACGAATGACGCTTCTATGCTTCTGTCACATACGGAATATTCGTCAACTACTCGCTTTTCCAATTTAATTTAATCTTCTGCTTAGTAGATGAAAATAAAGTTTTGTTTTGAAGTCTGGTTCCATCTTTCAAAAAATGTGATTTTATTTCCATAGCATTCGAAATGGAAGTAAGTGATGCTTATCAAAAAATGAAATGAAAGCATCCAAAAAATACCAAAGCTATAATATTAAATATTTCGAATATTCAAAAAATACTTTTATAGATTGAATAACACAATATAGCGATACGGTAGTAATCATAAGGAATAGAATGCTATTAATGGAATACTATTTGGGTAGAGGTACTTTTCCGTGTCTTTTTAGTATCAAGTTTTATCACGGTTAAATTTAAGAAATCAAGATAAGATGTTAACTTATCATTTCAAAAGAAAAACTGCGCCTTTGGGTTTTTTTTTATTAGTCTTAATTTTAAACTTTTTTTAACCTTAAATTTTTTTTTTTTTTTTTAACCTAAAATTTACTTTTTTTAACCCCCCCTTGTTTTTAAAGATGCTAGCCATCAAGCCGATCATACGGTATTCTTTGAATCCCCTCATTTTTTAAATTGAGATAGCTTTTTTAAAAAATTAAGAAATTGCAGAAATTTGATATGTCCGAAACCCAAAGGCTTGAAACCTTATTTGAAAATTACATGAAATCTCCAACGGTGAAGGGAGAAATGGATAAAATGTTTTACATGATTAGGAAGTTTAAAAAGATCAAAATGAGGTTTGCTTGGGAGAATTGATGATTGCAGTCTACAATTTTGATTCCAACAATTCCTTTGTTAGTTCATCTGGTTCTCGAATTTCCAGGTTCTGAAAAAAATCATTGTGACTTTCTAACATAAAAAATAATTTTCTTCGGAAAAAATTCTCAAAATTTGGCAGAGTGGACTTTAAAAAATTGAACCCTGCAGTTAGTTTATGTTTACATTTTCAACATAAGAACTACAATTAAGAATATAAGTGTATTGAGAATGATAAAAATACAAGAACAAGGAAAAAGTTACGGAAAGAAATTAACAGTTATTTTTATATGATCTACTATATTATAAGATCCATTACATTTTGCATCAGATTCACTATGCTCTCCACCAGTAAAAATAGAAAAAGAAATTCTTGAGTCCTAATTCTAATATAAAATTTAAATGCATTCAGAACAAGGAAAAAGTTCAGAAATCAAGCTGCATAAAAATCTTGGTGGAAGCAATCACTGCAGTTATTCAAAAATATTGTTATTCCTCGTCCCATCAAACTAAACGATCAGTTCTAAATTATATATATACAATATTCATCCATTAAAATATCCCACTTGAAGAGTTTCTAAAAAATGACTAATTCCAGAAATCAAATACCCTATTAAGCTCACATTCCTTTGCCAAATTGTTTCTGCTACCAGCATACATCATTCGCAATTGCGGACTGCAACCTGAAAAATTCAGTACAATTGATTAGGATCTATTGTTCAGCTAAAATATATTTCAAAATAAACATTCATCTTTATCAAGAAAGGAATCAAAAGCATTATACAAAATGATCAGTCCTTTCTACTTTTCATCTTTTCCATAAATTCATTGCTTTTTTATTCATGATCAAACAAACCTAACGGACTGTACAGAACAAGGCAGAGTGGATATGAAAGACGTCCATCGTCGTGTACACGCTCATAGCTTATTACAATATATCGTGGCTGTTGCACTGGCAATTCATCACAGATCACATTTGGATCGCAATTCTAAACGAGAATTTCATTCTGTTGCAATGGCTATTATTTAAAAATTCCAGAGCTAATTTAAAATATACTATTTTTTTGAAGGGTTATTCAATACCTCAAGTTTCTGGTCCAACATAATGAGATGTTTCGTGGGATCAATCTTCACTGCAAATTAATTTGATGATCGAAGTAAAAACGCTGAGAAAGATGTGAATGGGAGTATTAAAAAAGAACTTAAATTGTCGTTAACTTTCATTAAAAAGCAATCATCTGCAACCAAAGCTTAAAATTTATTTTAAAAAGATTGCGAATTTCAAATCAAAAAATTCTACTAGTTTTATGTTAAGAAAAACTTTTTAAATGGAAATAAAATGAACATATCAAAGCATTTGTTGAGCGCTTTTTACTGAATCGAAATCGTTCTAATTCTTCTTTTACATCTGTTGGTATCGCACATATTTTTAGTGTACCTGTCTGAAATTCGTCCAATTTAGTTCAAGGAATACAGAAAAGATAATGGAAGAAGCTCGATCAATAAGGATAATGTTTCAGGGTTTTTGCACTACTCAAAATAAGCTTCACTTTTAAAATTTGAGATAATATAGCTGGAAAAATAGTCGGAAAAGTAATTCAGAACTAGTTCGATAGCTACTTTTTATTTACATAATCTAATTTGATGGAAGTTTTTTGAAGCGAAATTTAAAAAATGAAAGTTTTATGAGAAAAACAAACCATAACGAAATGATGAAACAGCCGCACACGTTTGATGAATTCTTCCACAACTATGAATATTGACAAATCGATCTTACAAACATTTTCGAAACGCAAAAGAAGTTCAACAAAATTAAAATATCCATTCCAAGAAGCATTTTGTGTTTATTGCTATGCAAACAGTTATAAAAGGATTGAAAATCCATTCGTATTTCTTTACAACGTTTCGACGAGTAAAAACATAGAGTTACAGAACCAAAGGCTGCACCTACAACCACTTACCCATTCCCTTCATTTCCTATTTCAATTTTACTAGTCATTCAATTCTATTGAATGAGGTGATGAAAACGATGAAAACGCTATTTTATCTCATGTTACAAATCGGTCTACCTTATCTAACTATATAATGTTCAAATATCCAAGATAAAATTTCATTCCCGACAACAATTCATCCCACTAATTCAATAATATCATGGTAATTTTGGGTCACTTTCTTAAAAAACTTCAATCGAGTGATAAAACTTCTCCAAAAGAAAGTTGAAAATTGGCCAGATCAAGATTCACTAATAAAAATTTTCTGTCACAGAAGTGCCAGCTGAGCTATCCGTCTGGACTTCATTCTTCTTTCGGAGCCGCTAATAATGAGTTTTTCAAAGCACAAATGAGTTCTCCGAAGAAATGCAGATCTTCTGGATTAGAGAAAAAAACTATAAATTAATTTTATTAACATTTGTACATGACAAGGAAAATAAAAATCTAAACCGCGAGAATCTGATTTTAAGGCAACATAAATCAATTTAAAAGTAAAAGCAATGGTCAGCAATCATCCTGAAACTACGAAACAACATGAAACGGAAGGTAAACTGCGCTTGAACATTGATTCATCCAAAACTATTTCAGGGTATCTTTAATAACTATTTTTTATTAATCATTATTATTCAAGCTTATATTCTACAACTCACAGATTTCTTCTTCCTTTTGGAAAGGAAAAAAAAATTATTTTCAGGGTTTGGTTATAGTCAATCCAAATGAAACAAAGGACGTAAGAGTAGGTAATATATATTCGGCTCATTCAAAGTGGGACAAGCTGAAATTCAGAGGTTAATAAAAATGATATAATTTAAGAATGAATATCGGCAATGACAAATAACATCTCTGTTGCATTCTAAGGAATGTAACCTCGCACATTACGGAACTAAATTTATCTTAAATTAAGTTGCACTCTAAGTATAACACAAGGATAAAAGTGCTTACTAACGTTTTACTCAACTGTGGAGGAGAAGAATACAAAATTGCACAGACGCGATATAGAGCGTATATAAACTAGACAACATACAATAATACATGTACTATGAAAATAATTCTCAACATGAAAGACTGGTGATGATAGAATAGCTCGCTAATTACATGGAAAAAAACAAAAACAACGTAAAACTAGATATCGCCGTATTATAGTAAACGAGCAGGACTCAGTATATAAATATCATTACTAATTGTATGCGTAAATGGATGGCAATTATCACTTTGCATATCGCTACGCATTCCACCAAACATTATCAACTCTCCTCGACCAGCACACAACGAATAGAGCATCGTATCATCTGGTGCGTTCAAATCGACTTCTTGTTGGCGCCATCTAAAAAATACAAATCTCATCTTTCAATAAACACATAAAAGGCAGACCTATACGAATTCAAGCCTACTCTAATTAACTATGTGATAAATCAATTCATCAAGATCAACTGTTATGTTGTAGTTTTCGCCTAAATTTTCTCAGCCATTCAACATATAAACTACTCAGTTCACCAAAGATGCATCATAACAGCTTTCAACAACTCACGTTACTGTACAGTCCTCCAAAACTCGTGCGGTATCGAGTATATAAACACAAGCATTCCCTAAACGCCTTTTATGATACCAATGTTCTGAAAAGAAATAAAACACTGAAAAAATAATTTCACCATGCACACTCCCTCATAGCAAAATTAATAATGGAACACATTTCCGCTACATTCGTTAAATATAATAAGCTAAACATGAAATCCGGTGTAGAGAAGAGATGAGAGAAATTTTTGATAGAAAGTATCAATTGTATTCTTAAACATGATGGAAGTTAATAAAGTGAGAGAGCGAACAGAATACGAAATCAATATGATTAAAAATGCTGCTTTGCTACCAACCATTTTAGCAGATAATGAAGTAATTTTAAAACACTGAAGAACTTACTTTCCAAGCTTCCTGGTGAAATACCAGAGACACCACTGCTATGTTTTAAATGGCTGAAAAACAGATAATATACATCCAAGACTAATAGAAGTGAGGAATAAAATCCTTAATATTCATATTGTAAAGCAAATGAAATTTTGAGAGGTTCTCCACAAAGGATAGAATTTTAGAAATGAAAGCCGCAATATACTTATAAAATATCAACACCTTTCTCATTTTCACAAAAAACTAATGTCATGCAAAGAACCTCTTCAAAAAAAAATATATAGATAGCAAATATATATAAATTCTTAGAAGAAATTTCCTGCATGGAGCCAAAAAAAGATCACGAGATCCCAAGATCTCAAAAGATCTCACGACGTTTATCAAAAAAGAGAATCTTCAAAACAGAAGCACATATAAAGAACTTACTTTTTAGCATGTAATGAAGAGGTAGACGATTGACAACCCGAAGAATTCAATTTCTCATTCGATGTGGGATCCATGTTATTCCTATAGCTACTACATTAGCCTTATATTTGAAATGTAGCAAAATTTACCGCTTGTCAGCGATGCTTTTCGAAATACAGTTTGAGTTTAAAAAAATAGATTCAAATTTATCAGGAATTGTACCTTATACAAGAAGACTGTAGCGTGACGTTATTCGCTGGATGCGGTGGCTAAATAAAATTATGCAATTATTCAATTTAATTCAGTTTCGCCATATTTTGTAACCAAACAATTTCACTTCATTTTATTTAATATAAGCACGTACCAATTGGGTTGGGTTTCTTGAAGTAACTTGGAGCGGTGCTGGGCACGAATTTAAACTGATCGTGTTATACCTAAAGATCTTGATATATTTCCTAACCTTTCCAGATCTTTGGGAAATTACTTCTATTGTATGAAACAAAGTACAATGAATGCTACTATATACATGGTTCTGGAATTTAAAATTACAAAACTTCATAAAACTTCAAAGTGCACTCAAAAGACATGTATTTTGAAATGACCGTACCCACTGCTCTTTCTTGCATAACTTATACACGCAAGATTCCGTCCAATTGGACATGCTGGGCGGCACCAAAGTTGAGACGGACCTGACTTCGGATTTGTGATCTAAAAATAAAGAAATTTGCTCGGTAAACATTAAAAGAACAATTGTTAAATATCACTTTGGTGCATAATGATTTACTCCCACAGTTTTGTCTTTGATTCCGCTATATTTCTGTAACAATTTTTTTGTTTTAAAATATGAAGTTAGACAGCAATATAAAGTAGAAAAAATCTGGCAAACATTCCTGCCAAATATACAAATGCTCAAGATACTTGGATCATGTTCCAAAGTCGGGAATAACTACTCCTAAATTTGAATTTGATTAGGTACTTTATTTAGCATCGATGTCAGACATATAACAATCTCCCATATGCGTTAGAAAGCAGAGATCAAAACTGACATTGATTTGTTTCCATTCCCACGCATTTTGCAGCGTCAAGTCGAACGTAAGGAGCCAAGCATCATTATAAATACAATTTGGACCACCACAACCACCTACCACCAGCAGGTGCGATTTGTCAATTACCACACATGAGCTACCATAACGGGGGT